TTGTTTTGCCCTTTTTTTTTTTTTTTTTTTAGAATGTAGAAGAGTTGAATTTAGGTGTTTTAAGTATTTTGTTTGTTTGTTTTCAAATCTGTTCTCCTTTGAAACACTTGGTACTTGTAATTCCGCAACCCAGACATCTCACAGGACTAAGTATTTCTTTCAGTGCTAGGATGGAAATTTCTTTAAAGCTCCCCCTTTTTCCTGAGACTGAAAGAGAAAAGCAGAGAGGAAATACCTGTCTGGGTCACTTCCAAACCAGAGCATAGTTTTATGTTATTAAACTTGAATAACTTAAAAGCAAGAGAAGTTATTAATCTTAATCTTGTTTCAGTTTTGTTTAATCAAAAACCTCTCAAGGATTTCATAGGAGATTAGTATTTTCATCTAGTTCATCACCTTTTAATCCGACAACAGCTGAAATTTACAGCCAAGGGCACAGCTAAAGGCTGCACTCCAGTACTGCCTCAGCTTCTTACCAAGTTCATTACTCAAGTTAAAAAAGTCAGCCTTCTGTGTTCTTGCTGTAAATGTGCGAGAACTGTACCATAAGTAGAGAAATGCAGCGTATCTTTGTTTTCCTGAATAGTGAGTCAAATAAAAAGCAAGCCTCCCACTAAACCTAGCTTTTTTTCTTCAGATATTCAAGATCCACTGCAAACTACCAGTCAGTACCTCATCCGGCAAGTAGAAACTACCATAGATGAAGAGACATTGCCTGGAAAGTTACCAGAGACCCCTCTTAGGATAGAGCCTCCATCTTCTTACAAGGTAGTTTTATTGGTTGGGTGGGTTTTTTTAGTTATTAGTATGTAGCTTCTAGAGACTGCTCTAAAAAGGAGGAACAGGTTTTTTCTTCTTTCTCTGTTTTTCCCTGTTTCCCCAGAGATAAAATGCATATGGTTTGGTGACATTTCTAGGAGAAAAAGTTGTAACATGCTGCAGATAGAGCTGAATTATTGAGTATTACAGTTTAGGATAATAGACTTCCTTCCCCATTTTTAGTATTGTCTACAGAAACACGTACGAATATTATGTTTTCCTCCTTTGTGGATGTTTCCAGAACAAACCAAACCAACCCAGCATTGTTAGGATTTACATAGTGGGTTCTCCTCATGTAAAGACCAAACACAACATCCATTTACAGATGGTAAGAAGGTATATAACTTTCTTAGACCTTTGTCTTTGGTCCTTTACAGTTAATTTGAAAAAAGGTAACATAGTATGTAATAACTCGTTTCTGGAGGAGAGAATTGCCATTCCTACTCAACCGAGTATTGACTTCTCAGAGTGCTGTTTTGCTGCTTTATATTTATTAAAGACCAGGATTTTTTATTGTCTGAGGTATCTGACTGTAACTGACTTCCACAGAAGTCTAAGAAATCCCCACAGCCAGCCACTAAGAACCGACCTTTGCAGACATACTCTAGGAAACTTCCTAAATTACCCTTTAGCAGTCAGAAGTTGTTGGGGTTTTTTAACTCCAGTAGGAATTAAATGGGTTTCTAAATCCTGCAATGTTCTGACCTCACACATACTTCATGACAGTGACTTGTGATATTTACATTATACCGAGCTAAGCATTTGTAACAATTTCAAATGCTGGTTAGTTTTAAATTACATCATTTTTGTCCTGACTCTGCTTGGAGGTGAGTGCCTCCCGCTGGGGGTGGGCCCTTGGTCTTGCCCACCCTAAGAACCACAGTAACAGCTTGACAAGTTTCAGTTCCAGATTAGGTAGGGATGGGCTTGATGGCCGCCTCTGCGGCTGAAAGAAAGACATGATAACCTGCTGCTGAGACAGGAGAGCCAAAGTAGTAGGCTGAAAGTTACAGGTAGGCTGGAGAAGGTGCTACCCCTCTCCTGGGCTGTCACTAATGCTTTCCCTGCTGTACACTGCCATGGTATCAGCGTCTCTATGCCTAGGCCAAATGGCTCACCCTTTGCCTGCTCTGTGCAAGTGGCCTTTATTTTCCAAAGTGGCCTTTCCTTTCAGGGAACTCTGCTAGGATAAGCAGAGAACTAAACCTTCACCTATTCCAAACTTTGTAAAAGAAAGAGGTCTGCGTCACCAGTCATTTCCATCCTGCTTTTCTGTATGTTTAAGCATACATAAGTTTAAAACTATCACCATGTAATGTGATTCACCAGTAGCTACAAAAACTGCACTTGCTATGTTTTGCAACCTGTCTTTTTATTTTTACCTGTTTGATTGTAGGTGATGTGCCAGTGGGTGGAAGACTTGAGAAAAGCGTTGTGCAGATTCTGGTTTCGATCTTTACCCATCTTCTTCAGTTTGATGGAAGTCATTGTAGTTGGAGTTGTTGGAGCAGCTCTTATTCTTAAAGTCTTAAAGGTGATGTTCCCTTCCTGTGAAAACAAGTAAGTAAATTTTGCTATTTTTTTCCTCTTATGAAGGCAAAACATTAACTAAAAAAGTCTGTCAAGAAGCAGCCCCATTCTGTAGGAAGACTATGCAACAATTTAGTGAAAAGGCTGCTGGTAACTTTCCATTCCAAGTGACCTTTTGACACATACGCGTTTCAGAGGAACGTGGGTAGATCTTTCACTGCAAATGTCTTTAGGAATTTGGCAGTATGACAGCCAAGCTATCTAGTCTTCTAAGGACTACATTGTGAGACACCATTAAAATAGCTCCAAGAAGCTAGAGCTAAGCAATTCCAACAACTCTAAATCATACTCCTACTGTAGTTATGAAAGGCTTCAAATTTGTCTTTGCAAATTGGTACAGGAATTCTCCAAGGAGGAGATGCCAATATAAGCAGCTCACAAGCCATAGTGATCGGTGCTATCATTGGTGGCAAAACATCATAAATAAAGTTGATTGACTGCAGATGGCTTTATTCTCTCAGTTGGTGTTACCAGCAACACTAATATTTTTCAGAGAAGCAAGCCAAGAAATCAGGATAGATTTAGTGCTGGGATGGGTAAGTATGTAGTCAGTTCTAGAAGACCTAACCCTGGAACTGTATGTTCTTCCAAGACAAGTGACTGACAGTGTAGCACCTCCTACATTACCTATAAGCACAGTGATGTCTTCAAATGCAACTGACCAGCTGGGCTTCTGAAGGGTCCTGAGTGCAGTTCATTTAGCTATCTACCCAGGGATATGAGTGACCTTAGTCCTTCTGATGGAGGTAGAAAAAAAGGAGGGCTGGAATATGAGGAAGGCTGCAAACTGCAGTGACTAAAGAGACCATTTCACAAAGCGCACTGTCACATTGGAGTACTTTTTGTAACTAACTAACTTGTTAGAACAGGAGTAGTGAAGAAACACTTTGTACCCCCCAGCAGTAAGTGCTTTAGCACTACCACATGTGAAACTTTGAACTAAGGAGAACCAGGGGAAAAAAGTCTAATCCCCATAAATTGTTCCGCAGAGTGTCTGATGGCCTGTCCATGGCAGAGGCCAGCGCAGGGCAGAGGAGCCAGCCCGCAGTAATTTCTCTTCCAATTGAAGAGCACAGGGCTCGTGCGTGGCTTGTCAGAGCATTGCAAGAAATTGTAACATTGGAAGGATGGTCCTCTTCCACCTTTAAAAAAACCACCAAAAAAGCCCAAACAACCACAAACAAACCCAACCAACCAAAACCCACGCAGTCATTTTCATGCTACCTATATAAAGTGGTCCTGTAAAAAGTGGTAAAGGTTTAATTCATGATTGTAAACCAGTAAGAATGAATAGAAGGTATCAGATGTGAGTCAGGACCTCATGCCAAGTCTTTAATGCCATTCCATGGTGCATTGATAAAATTAGAGGCTTTAGCTAGTCTTGGAGAATTAGGTGCAAGAGCTTGACAAAGTAGCTCCTGACAGCAGACAGTTTGAGGCTGCTATGAAATTGAGCATACAAAGCCTACACTGCTAATGTTTCAGATGTAGAAACTGGGCAAAGGGACCCCTCTGAAACCACAGCTAGTACAGTTTGGAACCATCAAGTTCTAAGTTTTCCATCAAGTTTTCATTCTAGCTTTATAGAAGAGGTATTATGAGGGTAATACTTACTTGATGCATTGATTTAAACAAAGTTTGGGGAGTTTAAAAATAAATCTAAACTTTAGAACACAGAATTGTTTTGTATATTGTTTTCTAATGCCAGGTAATCTTACCTTTCAGAGGCATCCTTCTCCTGGATCAAGTCAGCTTTGTACCTGTGATTACCATCAGCTTGCCTTCAGATCTTCCAGACAGGAAAAATAATATAGATGAGAAAGCATGTACTTAATACCATGTTTACTTTGGAGTTACTGGTTTTTAAAAAAAAAGTTGTAGTTGGCCTGAAATTTGGCACTTGATCTTAATACCTTGTTTGTTTCCTACTAAGAAAACTAAGTCAGTTGATGAATTGGTAAAGGGACACTCAGGCTGAGGCCTGAAGCTGACTTCCCTGTGCCTCTCCGTAAACACGCAGCCTTTTCAGAAGCTTCAAAATAAAACAGCTTTCCACCCTGAGGGCTACCATTCGGTTTAACTTCTGTGAAGTCACTTTTCCACACCTCAGACAGGATGCTGGCTGCCTTCACCCTCCTAGATAAATAAACCAGGTCATCTATCCTGAGTAGCAAGATGATGCAATTCAGGGTGTCCTGAAGTCTCCAGATAGCATTCTTCAGAACAGGTCAAAAGAGTATCACAAACATCAGCTGTGCCTGCAAGCTGAAACAAAGCTGCCCAGCCTGGTTTCAGGTCTCTTAGGGTTGTGTGTGCCTTGCAAGGAAAATAGCACTACCAAACATTTGTGTTACTCAAGTAATTTGACATTTTCTATATGCAAAACAAAAATTTAAGACAGATTTATATTTCAAGCACTTTACACTTTTATGGCCCCTTCCACTCAAAAATTGGTGGCACTTGTAACCAATGTGCTCTTTGTAACTGTGACAGCAGTATTCTACAAAATTCTACAAAACTACTGGCTTACTGTTCCTAAGTAGGCCCAGTCCGCCCAGGCCAATTTGTACTGTTAACAGTTTTCAAATAAACATCAAAATTGTTTATTAGACTGTGTTCATGTGTGCATCTATATTTAGTTACATAAACCAGCTGTTTGCTGGATGTGTTAGATGCAGGATACTATTTGTTTTTTAGCTTTTCATTGTTCTTATTTACCAAAATTGTTTGTCAGAAGAATGACTGGGGGAGGGGGGGAACCCAGCAAATGAACCTTAACTACCTAGCATTAGATTGAGTTCAGTTACCATCTGAATGATCAGAAGTAGCCAGGTTCAGCTTAAGTTGTTATAGTGAGGGAGAAAAGCTAGGATTTCCCATGCCCCCCCCCCCCCCAAAGGAACGATTATGATCCATTTAATGAGATGTCTAAGTTATTCCAGTACTTGTCCTTGCAGCTGATCTGTGACAGAACAACTCGAGTTGCCTCACTAAACTGCCAGCACCGCAGTGGTAGAAAAAAACATTTCTAACGCTGAACTGCCTTGCAAAAAACCAAACACACAACCCAGCAGCGCAGCGTGGTATTCGTCAGCCCAAGGTACCAGGGACACTGCCCAAACTCCCCTTCTCCCCCCCCCCCTTTTTTTTTTAAAGTCTTATTTTTAGGTACTTTGCACTTCCTCAAGCTCAGCGTCATTAGGGTGTAGGACCCCAAACATTTGCCAGGTCCCCAACCGAGTGAGGATGATGGAAGTGGGGCATGTGTCACAACTGGTGGGTGCTTCAGGCAGGTGCGGAGCCACGAAAGGCTCGAGCAGGGCAGTTGCTCTGCGGGGCTGGAAGGAGTGGCAGTGACTGACATCCCCAAAGCCCCAAACCGTGCTTTCCAGGACTGTAGCACAAGAGAGCTGCCGTAATGGTAACATAACCACATAAGACAGAGGCAATGCTAGAGCTACAGAGGCATCTGAATTAAGAATGCAGTTTAGTGAAAGAAAACCCCTGCCAGAAGTCATCCATGGCTAAACAGGAAACTGCTAAGACTCTAGCACAGCAACAGTGACTGCACAGGCAGGAGCGAGTCTTCAAACAGTTGTAGACAAACTCCTCTGTATGTGGAAATTAATATTCTTTCCACTTAATGAACATAACCCTAGCCCCTTCATTAACATAGTTCAAATAGAAGGGATGTATAAGGCTGAAAAAACCCACAAATCCACAGAAAAGAAAAAAGGAGTAGGGTGGACATGAAACACAACAGTTCTCCCTTACTGCACAAGCACAGCATGAATTGCACTGCAGATGGAGCACGGCAGCTGTTGGCATGTGCTCTTTGCATCCCTACTTATGAAACTGTAAACCAAGCACCTGCACAGCAACAAGGAGATTTAACTCTATTCTAAACAGCTGCAATGCGAGTGGTTAAGCCTGACAAAGTGTTGGTACTGCTTCACAACTTGACAGATTTCCATGAGCTAAGTAATCCCCTTCTCTATGGTGTTCTACAAAGTTACAAAGCACAAGGAAAGAAACACTACCATCAGGTTAATGAAATAATAGTGCAAATCTTGAACACAGCAATTGCCAGACAACGCTGTTGTGCTATGGAGCTGGAGCTATCAAGCTGTAAGAAGTTAAAGTGCCGTTCTGCTTTAGCATGCACCTAGTTTTTCCTTGGTCATAGAAGTCTCCTGCCTTTCAGAGGACTGCCTCTATGAGCTGGGATCTCTCTGAACCATTTTGTAAACCAGTTTAAAGACTCCTCACTGCAACTAACACAGTTAGGAAAGAGCATGCCAGTCATGCTAGGTCTCATTTTCCCAGCTGAGGAGGATACAGGTGCTAGCTAGGGGAAAGAAAGGGGGAGGGATTGGCTAAAAAAACCCAACCAAACACAAAACCCAACTAGCCAAAAAACCCCACTCTGTAGGACAGCAGTAGGTCTTTAGGGAAGGTAACATCTCTTATCTCCTCATGAACTGTGGCTCTCACTGCAGCTCTTCTTGGTCTGACTCGCCCTCAGACTGTCTCTCCGCCTTTTAAACACAGGAGATAAGCAGCGCTGGCCCTTCCCTCCATCCATACAGGAACTCCACAGGAGGGGCTTGGTATCATCCCCTCCTGCCTTCCAAACCAGAATGAACTACAGAGTCAGCATTTTTCCCCCTTCGCTTACCACGTATCACACTGGTGTTCAAGTGAGCAGGCCTGGTTGCGCTGTAGAACCAAACTACTGCTTTTAAAATGTGGTTTATTTCAGAAGTTCTCAAAATACATCACGCTTCCAGTCTAAGCGGCCCCTCACTGGCCTGCTTCCAAGGACTAAAGCTTGCCTACTTTCCCTTCTTACTCAGGTGACAGACTGAATATTTTGGTTTGCTTGCAATGAATAGATTTATGAGAAGAAAACTCCTCCTGCAACACAGCTGACAGCTCTATACTCCTCCTAACATACAAACAGAAAAATAAGCATTAAGAGAACCCACTCTTCAAAATACTGCATCTTTTTCTTAACTCTAATGCACGTGGCTATCCTTTTGCAAGGAAAGAGATAAATTTGTTTTCCATTTTAGAGATGGAAGCCTATAAATGCACACACGTGTATACTCACCTGGACGTCTTCATTTCTGGGCTCCTCACGCCCAGTCCGTCCAGGGATTCAGGAGCTCTCAGCAAGATCTGCGTCTCAGTGCCTTACTGGAGCGTCTCATCACCGGCTCTGCTCCATGTCCCTTTTCACTGCGTCCACCTGTCACTCACAACATAGCAGTGAATTTTAAGTGCGTTAACAAGATGTTCACGATAGTGGCTTTTGCACAACTATGTACTTGGGACTCATTTGCCTTCTACTCAGACTGCAAGTTTTCCTTTCCACTGTCATCTGTCCTGCCCATCTGGCTTGCAGCATCTGAAGAGACACATGAGCAGGAATTTCAGAGCCAGTTTTGTACAGCACAGATCTACCAGCTGAAGCGAGTCTGGACGTATTTGATTCATGGAAAAGCCCAAAGTTTAGCTGTAAGCAGAACTACAGCTGGCTGCTCTGAGATGAGCTAGCAGGAATAAGTGTTTCCAAAGTAACAGGAGATGGACAGAAGCGATAGATATTTTAGTTACAATGACCACTGTTGAGCAAAATCTAAAATTATGACCTGAATGGAACCATTCTCAGCAAACTGCTGCTACATTCCACCTGGCAAGTAACACAAAAAGAGAATTTAGGTTTTATATCAGTTGTAAAGTCAGGGTTATGACCAGAAATCAATTGAGCACAAGCGTAACGCGCACACTGCCTTCCCAGAACAGCCTTACCAGAATAAATGTGCGGTGTAGATCAGGACCCAACCGACCAGCCTAGAGTTCTGACAGTACCACACAGTCAGGGAGAAACACGCATTTCCGAACTAATGCCAGAGCGCTTTTGTTTTCTCTCAGACTTCCAAGGAGAGACTACACATGTGACTCTGCATCACTGCTGGCTGCACAGTTAGTTTACACTGGCTGGGTGTATCTTAATATTACTTCATAGATACTGTAATAGGCACCGTAAACCAGTGATGATCCTAACCCTTGCTTAAACTTCACTTGCCTCTTTTGACTGTTAGTAGCGCCAGGGTTACTGTTTGAAATCTCAGCCTTTGTACAGGTTCCTTATTAATACCTTAGGAACAGTTTAAGGGTAGAATTCTCTAAGATCAGCTAGCAAAACCAGCTACACAGCTGTGCCTTGTTCATCCCATTTTCTGGTTCTCAACACCCCCTACTCATTTAGCAGGGCTAGTTTGCGGATTTTTTTGGTGTAATAGCTATTTTTCAAGAGTAAACTTTCTGATGCAAGAGTTCTAGTACTAAATTTAAGTAATTTTAAAATCTTCAAGATCAAAACAAATCCCACCAGTATCTTTCACATTTGAGAATAAATGGGTAGCTTTTGAGCTAGTTCAAAGACAGCTAGACAGAATTTGCATTTTAAAAAAAAATTTATTTAGACATCTGTTGCTCTTAAATTACAAAAGTTAAAAAGAGCATGCAGTGCACTGACACACTACTTATTACTTCTAAAGCTGTTTTAAGACGTAAGGTGGCTTCTTCACGGTAAGACAACTCAGCATGATCCAAATTCGACTATCCATTTCTCATATTTCTCAATGTCCGCAGCAGATACAGATTTAGAAACTTTCTTCAAAGCTATTTCAAAGTCTTCCATAGTTGTTGGCATGTGCATTTCATCGCGGGAAAGATTTCTTATTTCTTCTGGCGTCAAGCCTTCAATACGCCTTCTCATAGCCATCAATGATGCATCTCTATTAAGGATAAAAAAAAAAAAGTTAC